TCAAAGATCTTCTTAAACTGTATGCTTGGTGGTCTGATGGCAGGGGTACCACTTCCTACCTGAATGACCTTGCAAGTCACCCTGTAAAGCCTGCTATTTCTGGGAGATTGTGCTTCCATTATCCTCTACAGAGGGGATAATAAGGTGCCAGATCCCATGGGAGTAGGTGAGACCATGCTACTCTCACCTTCTATGCAGAGACAGCTCTCAGCCTGTGGTGTTGCCAGTGGCAAGAGTCAAGACAGGCTAACAGCCTGTTCCAGTCTTCTTACGCATACACACACATACATGCACATGCTTGCATGCATTCTCCATTCCACATGTCTCCTCTAAGACAATTCCCTGTAAATATTGGCCAAGCATGCTGCTTCTATTTTGACAATGCTGCAAAAATCTGCATATAACAGTGATTTATTGTCTTACCATCAATAACACTTGGAAGGCCCACTGAACTTTTCACCAGGGTAAACATATTAAAGCGTAACACTAGCCATCCACTACACATTTCTTCCTTCCAGAGGTAAATTTATATGAAAATGGCCAAGTCAGTCTTTGCATACACAGTTCCTCTCTTTTCTGTCTTGCATCAAAGCCCCCACTCATCTCACTTTCTTCCCTCTTCTGTTTTTTCTTTAATCTGTGAACAGGCAGAGGTTTCATCCAAGAGTATAAGGCTTTCCACAGCCAAGAAGCAGATGTTCCTTGACATCACATCCCAGCACATACTCATTTCTTATCTGCTAGCATCTTGTGATTACAATCATAAGATTCTTCTAATTATTACAATATCTTCTTTATTCAGCTATGCACCTGGTCCACAGAAACTTGATTGAATTCCACAGGGCATTTGAGCTCTCTGACATTTCAAAGTCTGTAATTGCTGCAGCAGCAGTCATGACCTCCCCCTTGAAAACTTAGTGTTGAAGAAAGAAATTGTACCTGTCCAGGAAAACTAGCTATACCCAGTCTAAAGAAGTGTAACCAGTTATAGCTGTCCCTGGGTGAGCTGAAACATCGAGTCTCTTCCAAGAGGCTGCTGGAATGGCATCATGGCACCCCAGGGGCCACTGCTCTGTCTTTCTTCACTTTTCACTTCTCACTTCTCAGTTTAGCAGCTAGGATCTGAGGAATGTATGCAGTGTATCCTATATGCACACACAGGTCATAATAATATTGTTTTTTCTAGTGTTGAGCTGACCTTTTGAATTTGACATTTTTGGCTTGAAAAAAACAATGGTATTTGCCTTACATAACATGTAGATATCCGAAAACCATTCAGCTTCCCTACATCTTGGTGATATTGAATCTCTGGTCTGCAAAATACAACAATCTGTTGAGAATGAAGCTGTAAATGGTAAAGAATAGCCTGGTGGAATAATAGAGGGTAGGCTAAAGCAGAAATATCCCCAAACCTCCAGGTATCTGAATCTGAATGACTTTCCTTACTACCAATCACTGATAACTTTATTTTCTCTCAGATAATTGTATTACAAGAAGTCAAAGAGCTGGGCTAAGACCAAGATGTATGTAGTAAGACAGAAAGAGTGCAGGCATCTCACCTTATAAATAAATATTCCTTTAAGGAAAATGTTTATTTTATCATCTTTGGTGCAGCTAACATAACAAACACATAAAACCAAAACAGACCTGCAGTCACTCATCACATTATCTTCTATTTAAATCCTTTCTCTACAAAGAAACTAATAAGAAACCATCATGTAAGAAATGCAGCTGCACCCAAGAATCGTAGAATTACAGAATGGTTTGGGTTGGAAAGCACTTAAAGATCATCTGGTTCCAAACCCCCTGCCATGGGCAGGGACAACTTCCACTAGACCAGGTTGCTCAAAGCCCCATCCAACCTGATCTCCTGCCTCTCACCTCCAGTACTCCACTACCCCAAGGGTAACAGCAAGCATAACTCCTCCAGTTCTGAGGCCCAGCACCTGAAATTCTTTCCAAAGCAGGAAACCATTTTTAAGATTTTAGACTTTCTGCCCACCAGTAAGGGAGCCACTTCATGGTACTAGGTGTGGGGATTTCACTTCTGCTGCCTGAGTGACTGCTGCATGGGGTTGGTGGCTTACCTTCCAGCAGCATTGTCAGGGTGGGCACAGCTTGTTGCAAGGCCCAGCTAAGAAACTCCTGTGAGGCTAACATGTTTGCCATAGGATGACAACTCATCATAGCATGCACTTCATCCAATTTCAGTATGCTGAGCACATTTACAAGCTAGACTGGGCAGACCACCAGGAGAACCCAACCTGGTGAGGCTCAGAGTAAAGAGACCAACCTCCTGAGCCCTTCTTCCATTTCCATGCCCGAAACTGTAGTCAAAACTGCTTGGCATAAGCAGTGAAGGTATAATTCAAGATATCATTTTAGTGCCCTCTTTCTTGGTCAAAGGAAGATCTCTGGGATTTAATATGATTTATGCTACGTGGGGATAAAAAAGACAGCAAGGTGAGGTTTATCATTAAATATGTTAAGTTTGAAATTGTAACAGCTGATGTTCTCCAAGTGTTAGCATGAGGGTGCAGTGAGTCCTTAGCAATTCATTTTGTAAAGTTAGCTGTTTTGGGGTAACCATCCTCCACTGTGTATTTTCTCCTTTCACTCTTCTATCTTGCAGAGGAAAGAATACAGCGCTTCTCTGTTTTTGCTAGACTTTTCTTCATTTCTGCTTTAAAAGCACTCTCAGCTTCTTCTCCCCCTGCATACTCAAAGCCTCCTTTTTTTTACAGACAAAAAAAAGCAAACTTCTAGTACAAAGCTTCATTGTTTTGGGTTTTTAATGGCAAAGCTCTCAAAGTATAGGCAAGGTATCTGATGGTCCTATAGCCTTTCAGAGCTACTCAAAGGTAGCAATTACTTTAAGTTTTTGCCAATCCACATTTGTGCTGATTGACTGAACAAAGTTTCTTCTCTATTATTGTGCATTTGCCTTTGGAGAATCATCTCCAGGAGGGTTCTGCACTCTCCCTCTGAGCCTCTATACTGTACACCTCCAAATGCATAGTGTATGCCTCTTAGAGTCTCAGTGCCATTTGTTGCTACTACAACAGCACCACAGGACTGCAATGAAGCTCTAGATCCACATTGGCAGTCACTCTTGGCATACAGTACCAGGACTGGCTGCAGACTTAAGAGATACAAGTGGGTAAAACACAGGACACAGCATGGGATAACAGTGAAACAGCCACGGTTATCTTGTGGGTATCAATTCTGTCCTCAGGAGCAATCCTGCATGCAGGAGCAAGGCTTCTGTGAACTCATTCATCCCCATCTCCATACTGCCAGCATCATGTAGGTGTCCACAAAACCACATACACATAAGCACACAGGCTTGCAGAACATTATAGGCTTTGAGGTGATGGTTTTCACTAGGTCTCCTGGCAAATACCAGACTACAGTCATTTACACTGTGGTGAATGTCTAAGGATTAAAAGCTTCTGATTGAACAGTGGAGATTTCCCTGAAGAGAGGGATTGCCAGTCTCACAGCACTGGCTGTGGGCAAAAGCAGATCTAGTACACTATTCGGACACTTGTCCCTGTGACCACTGGGCCTTCACAAGAACAGTACTGGAATATAACTTGTAAGTAAAACTGTAAAGGACTGATTCACCAGTACAGAACTGAGCTGAGTTTGGTTTGGGGAGTATCAATTTAAATAAAAGCAAAATGAGCACTTCCTTTCTTCCTTGGTGAAATAAGTATTCATTTCAGATCAAATGAAATATTTTATTAAAATAAAAAGATTTAATTATGAAGGGACAATTTAAACCTTTTTAATGAATAAAATATTCAGCAAACCAACCATTGTTTTTCCAGTACTCCCTTAAATTGGACTATACAGAAATGCTGACAGGAACACCTAAATTAAATGTGCTTTTGACTAATGCTTTTACAGGTCAGTCTCACTAAGGAAGAAAACAACCAAACAATAATATTATAAAACTAAACTGTCAAGAGTAGAGATTTTCAGTATCACCTTCATTTATTTTCACAGAAAATTGTTTTAAAAATAGAAAAAATCTGAAAGCTGAAATTGTAGTGATTATGAAATGATTTTACATTAACTTGATAAACAGTAAAATAGTGGTATGAAGATTTTTCTGCCTTTTGAGGGCTGCACTCTTTATTCGGTTTAAAATTATAATAAACCATGGAGAGCTTACTGAGCTAGGTAATGAAAGTAATACAGCAATTTAAGTGTTAATTTCTGACTCTCTATAATAGTTTCCAGTTTTTTTTTATCTTAGTGGGTTTTTTATGGTCATGCAATTGTAGTAATTGAAAGTAGATTATAAAAATGATTCTCCTCCAGATGTTTTCACGGGGAAAAGAAAAGATGGAATCTGAATGATGTTTCATCCGGGAAAATATGGAAATATAATTTTCATATAACATAATAGCCAGTATGCCTGTACCTGCAATCTCATTATTATAGGGAGAACGCACAAAATTTAATTAAATCAGACATGCTCTCTTGGTTCTTTCCCCATGCCCACCAGCATAGGCAGTGCAGAGAAAGGTGTATCTGGCATGTGTGTGAGCAGAGAGAAGTGTTCACCAGCACAGGTTCACCAGCAGTACAAAGTGTTAATGTCCTCTTGAGAAGCATCAGCCCCTCTCCACCTAACAGGAGAAGCTGTACTGGCATCAAGACCTCTTCCAGGATATGGCCAGATCTAGCCTAGGCTTTGCGATGGGAATATATTGGGCTAGGTGCTCATGTACTAAATGGTGAAGAAAGTGCAGGATTTTCTGTGCATGCTGAGGGCTAGAAGAGAGGAAATACTTATAATTCAGGGGGCTAAAGAGTGCTTATAACAGATTTTACAAGATGGGAAGATGATACCAGAAGACTAGAGGAGGGTAGGACAGCTCTGAGAATCTCACACACAACAGAGGTGTTTTTCTGGGTCCTACTGTTGACTGGAGAAAGGTGGCAACACTAGAGGCAGAAGGTGCCTGTCTCTTGTTTACAGCCCTGACTGGAGCCACTGGACTTTGGAGAAATGGAGGCTTAGAATCTGAGAGTGTAAAATTGTCAAGATGGGAACAAAACTGGATTTTGGCAGAGAAATTTGAGATACTGTCTTAAGCAAGATGATACATAGCAAGTGAGAGAGGGCAGACTTAGCATCCTCACAGACACAAGAGGTGAGAACTGTGTTGAAAAACTAGAATGTGGAGCTTAAATAATATAAAAGCCCAAGAAAAAAGAAACATCCTGAGTGGTGACAGGTAGCCACAGCACCGAAGTTAGAAGGGCTGAAAGAGAGAGATATCTTGTATTTGGTGATATTACCCACCTGAGGCAGGAGGGCAGCATGTGAGCCAGAAAGGCAAGGACCCTGCAGGTGAAATAGCTGGAGAAGAATGAGATGGAAAGGTTGGAAAGCAAAAAAAAAACCTTACTTTTCTTATATGAGAATTTGATTAGATTCTCCAAACCCTTCTGCTTTTCAGCTGTGCTGGAAAAATAATTATATGCTATCATGTCTTGAAAATGCATAGTGTCATTAATGAGAAAAGCCTGTGTGATCTCAAGTGTGCTGTGTCCTATGAACATGCAGGAGCCTCATACTAAGCCCAGTATCTTGGCAATCTCTGAAGCAATGCACAGAAAATACATGAAGCCGAAAGAGATTATGCTGTGTAAGCACTCACCAAATTTCTCTCATCTTCTGTAAATAAAAATCTTGTTATCTGAGCCACAGTGACATCTGAAATGGAGGAGCAGGGATACTGATGCACTCAGAGAAAAAAACCTCAGATGCTACATATGCATGAAAGGACTTTGGCTGTATCAGCATTGTTAGTGGGGATAATAGGCTCTCGTGGCACAACAGAGCAGGGGTCACCTCGCTGAGAGCAGAATGGGGATGGAGTTGCCATCTGCACATTCCTGATTCTCTTCACGATAATCAGCCCATATTTTCAGAACATACTTTGCATGCAAATGCGTGTGCTTGGCATTTACATCAGCAACATATGTGGCATTGTTTGAGCCACAAGCTCATTAGCACGTCGATGGGACATGCTACCTGAACAGAATGAAGCTTGCAGGACAGAAATTAAAAGGTACATGGAGTTAGCTGAGGGCAGAGTAGATAGTGGCAAAAAATAATACTTTATCTAGCAGCAGGGAGAGTCATACTTTTTATTTACCATATCTTTTGATCGATGGCTCTAATAACCTTACATTTGAAGGCATACAAAGATCAGTCATGACCTAAAATGTAGCTTTGACAAGAGCTCTGAGAACCAGCCCACAGCTGACTAAAGGCAATGGCTGTAAGCAGACAGAAGGAGTCTGGACTAGGCTTAGATGGATCAAAAAATCAAATCAAGGAAAGAGCAGAAAAAAGAAGACAGATGAATTCCTGAAGCAGCACTGACATTTACCTGTGACAAGAAAGCAGGAGAGGTACTGGTAGGAATGCAACTACTACTGTAGATGATGATTATTAAATTGTTCAAGAGAGCAGACTGTATTTACAGTGCATCACTTGTGACTGGAAATCATGACAGGTCAGTATGGATTTTTCTAACCAGTCTAAAGCTCATCTCAGGGCAAGAAGGGAGAAAGAAAAATTTAGCTATACATTACAGAAAAGAAACAAGTTCAGAGCTTTGATATGAAGAAAAAGAAGAAAAACAAGCAGTTAGCTTTAGCATATGAGCTGGCACCTACTTCTGGGCTACAGGAAAATGAATCTTACTGATCAGTGAATAGCTTGGACTAAGACTAAAGTAAACCATGTGGATGACATTCCTAGCAGTATAGAGGACTTGATTGCACTAGTAAGTCTGGATATGGAGAGAATCCTCATCTATGACTACATCAGAATAAATAATATAACCAAGGAGAGACTGATTTCTTGCAGTGACTTTATCTCTATTTGAGGGTCCTCAGCAGGGGAACTGAGGGTGATTTAAATACTTAAATGCATGCACAAACCACCAAGAAAGGAGAAGAATAGTGCCAGGACTGATGATAGTTTCTGGAGCTGTAGGCTGCTTTTGTACTGAAAGCCTGGCTGGATTTCATCTGCGTGGTCCAAACAGAGCTTAATAGAGGGGTTTTGAATTAGATAAAAAAAGGGAAAAAAAGGACTTCTCAAAATAGTGTGTCACAATCCAACCTGCGGCAGAGCTTTCAGGTAGATCTGCTTACACCTTTTCCTTCTAGTGAGCCCATGAAAATTATTTTTGTCTCTTCAGTTCCATTTCACTACGACAAGCTAGAGTAAAGTTACTGTTGCAGCCAAGGAAACTCAAATCAGCTGCACCTGAAACAGATTAAACCAAAAAGTCTTGTAAATAAATCTTTTCCTCCCCACATCCTCAACCCCTGTTCTTCAGGGTAGGTCCTTTCCTTCAGTCTTGCTCCCAGGCCAGAAACTTTTAGTGGCCTCCTAATTGCAGGAAATTTTACACAGTACCTCTCCCTGAGAGAACTTTCTTTCCATCACCTTTGAGGTCTGGTTGCATCTCTGCCTTCCTGCCCTACTCAGGAGCCTTCAGCCCTGCTGCCATAGCAGGCTCCCTGCTGCAGGCATCCCTGAGCAGCCCAGCTCAGGCTCCACAAACACCCTTACCTGCTGTCGTCTCCTCTTCCCTGCTCCCTTTTCCTCCTCCCTGCCAGGGCTCTGCCCGCCTCAAGTGCAGCAGCCCAGACTAGTATATAGACAAAATATATAGTACCTACATTGTAAGTGGTGAACACATAAGTAAAACCCATCACCCTCTTGACAAATTTCAACTGATCTAGGAAGTTAAGTCAATGTAGAAACTCAGTTATCAGAAGGGTTATGAAGATGAATCTCCTTCCTCTGCAAAGCACTACATTGTATTGTATAATATAATAAAGAACAATATATTTAATATAATATATCACATAAACCAGGAAGCCCACTGCACACCTCATTCTGAGAACAAAAATAATTGAAGAACAAGTAAAATTATACCCCAGCACAAGAGCACATGGCAATGGGCAGAACTAGAGGAACAGAACTGCCAGAGGGTGGTAATGGAAGTGAGGGCTTGTCTTGTGAAGACACTAATCTTGACATTACTAATAAATGAGGGTAATGCAACATGGAATAATAAAGAGTGGATATAAACATGAAAAACAGTGGTGAGAACAGGTACCAATCAGTACATAAACCGGGATTAACACAAAAGCAGTCAGGATACTGAACTATGGGTACAACTGAGCTGGTTTCTGAGCCTAGCTAAACCTGAACTCAGTGCTACCTGGCACATGAACACAATATCAAAACCAGGTTGGCATCAGCTGATTCCTCCTCCTCCAGACAAATACACTGTTCATTACTTCAGGCATGCACACATGGATGTGTACATAAAAACACGCAGAAGAAAGTTATTTTGATTTAATCACCTCCTTTCACTTCTTTGCCATGATACTATCATCCCACCCACCCTGTAATACCTGTAATAAACTTAATGGCAGTCACCACAGGTGTTTGGTGGCCTTTAATGCACCTTTTGCATGCATCCAGGTTGCTTTGCAGTTGCACGGATAACTAGATCACCTTACAGTTGCAAGCTGGCTTTGTGAAGTTTGAAACCCATGAATTCTGACTGATTTTGATACCGTTATTATCTCGGCTGTACAGTCAGCATATCACAATACTGCCAAATTTAAGTGCAACATGGAAGTGTACCATAGCAATCTAAACATCTTACATCCCACTGTGACTTATTTATTTTTAACTTGCTTTATTTATGACATTTTTCCATTTCAATGCTTTGCTTTTTTTCCATTACATTTAATCAAATTTTATTTTATTTTTCATTTTGTAGATCTCATATGGGTGTTTTTGAAACTGAAGCCAATTGAGAAGCATCTGCAGACAACAGAATGCTGTCAAGTGTGAACAATGAAATTTCTTCTCAGAGAGGAGAGCAAGCAAAGCACACTCTCAAAAAATCAGGGAAAGCTTTGTCCAAACAAAAACCATGCTTATGTCTTCATTGGAGTTTCCAGTGTGTTGCAACCTAGCTCTGAAGAGCACTGTAAACCAAGACGGAGCTGACCCAGCCTTTACAGTCAGCAATACTAATTACTTTTAGACCACCATCAGCTAGTCTAGCTTAGGCCTATTGTACTTCAACAGTACAGGATCATAAAGCAATGATTGCTTTCTTATGAAGATGTTTTAGTTTAAAATGATTTTTTTCTCCTTTTTTTTTTTTTTAAATTCTCCAGATCTCAGTAGAAAGCCTCATAAATGTTATATGGAGACATTTTCCACATCTCTAACCTAAGTTAATTTCTTTTATGTTTTATCTGAAGTCACTGGGATTGTCATGTTTTTTTATGGGATAATTATAATATCCCTGTAAAGTTTTATTACCTTAACATACTGGTATATATTCTCAAACCTAGCTCTAGTTTAATATGTATTTCCAAATAATTAATATGTAGGATAGACAAGCACTTGGTGCAGCAGAGAAATTAGACATCAGGAGAGTCTCTGAGGGAGAGATGAATCCTGTCCACATTCCCGTCCTCCCTGTAAGGGTGGCCAAGAGAGGTTAAACTGAAAAAATTGGTACCAGCAGGTTGCCAGCACCTTCCTGGTGGTAGAACAGATTTAACACAGAGTTGTCAACCTGAAGAGGTAAAAATATATGAGATGAGGCTTCCACATCAAGAGTTTGATCATGCGAATGAAAAGAAATACTATGGGGAAAAGGGCTGGGGTTTTTTTTGTGTTTGCAAGTGTTAGGACAGGAAAGTGGGTTTGCCTTCTTCATGCAAGATGAGCTTCTCATAAATCTTATGTTTATTAAGAGTTGCATGTCTAAGGAATGAGAAAGAAATACTTTGGTAAGGTCTTGAAGGCTAATACTGCCTATGTCTGTGACACCATGAGTGCATCCAGAGTGGTAGCTCTGAGTCAGCTAGCTCTGTACTGCTGGTGCTCTGCCTGTCCCAGCAAAGGGTTCAGCACAGATGAATAGACAAATGTCTCAATACAGGTCTGAATGGGTTATTTTGCAGTAGACCGTGCAAAAGCCCTGCTATTACCCATCGCTTCATGTAGCTGGATGGATACATGCTGAGTACAGGGTGGCTCTAGGAGCTGCCATGCAAACCTGTCTGGAGGGAGATCACTGAAACCATCATCTGTGGCTTCACAATGAGCATGCTATCCATCCTTTTTCCTGAGCAGAGATGGGAAGACTTTACAGTTTGGTTGCAAACATAATTTTTTCTTTGTCAGAAACAACAGGTACTGGCATGACAGCTTTGTGCTCCACAGGCTTATTTTTCCTCAGGCAATGGTACCTGAGCTCTTGATCCCACAGGTATGGCCACAAAAGGAATCATTAACTATAACAGAAAACAAAACCAATAGTAGCTACTACTTACAGATAACGTAAGATGCAGGAAGACAAGTGAAGCAGATGCAGCAAACACCTGACGTTGGTATCTCAGAGTTACCTTTCAACACTTCCCAGGAGGGGAACAGCCTTTACCACATTACGGATTACCAGAGGCACGATCAGTGACAGAGGCCTCTGTCACGTAAATTGATCAGCAAGGCCTCTGATTATTTTGCAGAGAAAAAAAATATTTGTATTGGTTCAGTAAGAGTTGACGGTACAGAGAAATTTTGACATGGGATATCTCCAGATACCACAAAATCTGCACAATACCATCCAGGAATACCCATACATAAGCATGGGTGCCTTATGAACTAAGTAAATATCAGTGGATAAAAGTAATAGCCCGCTCCTTTTATTAATAGCCAGTACTTTTGTATTTTCCCCATTTCTCCTTGCCTGGTAGCTATGGGAAATGCCCATCCATACAGACATTAATTTTAATAAAAACTTCTTCCTTTTCTGTTCCACCGTATCTCCTTATGTCTTCTCTTGCAATCTTGCCATCTATGCAGAGAGCTTTTTCAAGCAGTTTCTAATTTTATCTTCAGCTGTGAAGTTTTTGAAGATTATCTGTTTGAAAAAGACTGCAAGAAAAAATAGGCTGAGCTGAATAAATAGTTCTAACATTTTGATATCTCATGGGTGAAAGAGCTGTTCAGAACATGGGGGTAGGATGAGGTTCTGAAAATGACGAGCGTATTAAAGATGCCTTGCTGCTTTTCTTTGGAAACACAGGGCTTTAGGTCATGCAACCTCCTTAACCCAGGTCAACTTTATTACAGATGTCTGATGCAGTCCTTGCAATGCAGCAGCTCAAGAAAGAAAAGAAACGGGGCAGAAAGAGATGAGTAAGAAGGACTGGGTAATAAGCTTCTGATCCACGTTACTGCAGCCATACGAACAACGGAAGTGTCTACAAAGTAGTAAGTCATAACTGTGCAACAAGTCATGTCCTGCTTTGCTGTGAAAGCTTTCAGGAAATAATTATACCACTTTTTGCCAGTATATATCTGCCTTTAGAATAAGAATAATACTTATCTGCATTTACAGAAACACTATGAAAGGCTTGGATAGAAAAGACTACATGGATATTATGCAGGGATATTCCTAAATTCCTTACCAATGTACATTGGATCAGTGCCTAATATTTGGAATGTCTAACTGAAGATAAATTTAAATAGGTAACACTGCTCAGTTATTTGCCAAAGTAAATTACGATGTGTTTTTTTAGACATAGGAGTTGCTCACTTAAAGATAGTGCTTTACTTTGCCACAAAATAATTGGCACAATGCAATATATTTAACATGGGAAAAAATAAATTGTAGGTTTTGTTCTGCTTGGCAGGCATTGTACCGAAACCTATATATTCTCAAAACCTGCAAACCCATTAAATAAAATCACTGCTTCTCAAGAAAACCTGATACAGCTTCAGACTATTTGGGGGATAAGTTGTTTCCTTTTCTCATATTTGAAGCATTTTTTTTCATTGTTTGTATTTGTCTTCACTTCCAGTGTTTTCCCCAAACACCTTTCTATGTTGTCTGTGGGAGTAGTCACAAAGCAATAGAAACATGCCAAACATATTGATTACCAAGTAAAATGGTTACCCAGGCAACAAAAAATCCTAGGAAAGCTCTTAAAACTTCCTTCCTTTCTCATGTGACTCCTTTCTTTCTTTTTTCTTTTTCTGGTGGTTTCAGAAATCATGGATATCGGATATAAAAGTACTTGCTCTGAATATGTAGCAATGGAGAAAAGGTGATTCATGCCTAGATTATCTCTACCACCAGGAATATAACTACCCACATTACTGCCTTAGCAATCCATCACTTGCAAAACGGGTAGGCAATTTTTTGTAATTTTGGGGGACAGAGGAACCCTCTCCCACCAATTTCTAAATCTATATTCAGAAGTGATCTGAGGAAAGAAATTCAAGGAATAGAATTTTCCCAAAGTGTCAAGGTGGGCAAGATGAACAATAGCATGTTCCCATCAATTGCAAGATGGGCAATATTCACATAGCAACTGAAAGTTTGCTCTGCTTTGCACAGAGCAAAGGAAATTAGTGTCCTTTCTCTGTGGGTGGTTTTTATCAAGCACTGACTACATGTGACAATAGTGACCTAACCAGAAGAGCAGCAGGGACCAGAGCTGGTGGTAGTAGGCTCATGCAGTTACTCAGCCTCCTTCTAGGCACAGCCTGGTTGTTCCAGTGTATTTAAAAGCATGTGCAATAGGAAATATGCATAAAGCTCACTTGGGAGCAACTTTAGATGGCTCGTTTCTGTCTCCTGCTTGGTTCAAGCCCCAGACACACAGAAAACTGCCTCCTTGCTGCTCGAGCGTGAATGCTCAACTTTTCAACCATTTGGGTATTTTGGAAGGAATTGCTTTGCAGGCATTAAGTAGATGCTTGCTAGTCCCTTCATTTGTAAGCAGGAACTGTAACTGGACTATGAGGAAAGAGGGAAACATGTAACAATGCTTACATTAGGGTTTGAGGTTTTGTTAGAGTAAGGGAATCTAAGCCAGCAATTCAGAAAACAGGGCACTACTGTTCAGGCTTTGATATGCTGATTTTTTCATCCCTGAACAAATGGTGGTAGGGTTTTTTTTGTCCTCCTATACTGGCTTTCCAAATAAAAATGGGTTTGAAAAGCCACAATTACAGAGGTTACAAATAACACGCAGCAACACAGCTGGCACTGGAACATTTCCAGAACATAATCACCTGTCGTGCGCACTAATTCCCGTCGTGATAAGGGCCCATTATTTCCAGTGGGGTCCGACAGATCTGTTGTCAAAAATGTCATCTCTTAATGGATCAGGTTTGGGATTGTCTGAGCCTTAGCCTGCTTTCCTATGTCAGCTTGTGTTAAGAAGGTACGTTATTCCTTTGAATGATGGCTTTTTATTTGTCCCAGGCTAGTATGGTTAATAGAAGGCTGAAGAAAATGTGATTAAGCTACATGGAACCATAAATTAGCTTGCTATGAAAAGAAATGTCACAAGCAAAACTTTCCAGTAAACATCATCCTAAAGGGAACTGAATAGCGTACAAAGCATGAGGAGAAACACAGTGGTTAATTTTTATAGGTGGAATATTACTTCAGTACAACAAAAGGCAGTTCTCTAACTCCCTTTATTTGAACAGATGTTTGCCTTGTGTTGTCTTTTATACTCTCAGCACTTGGCTGTCAGTCTTGTGTGGCAAAGCTCTGCTAATGCCCTTCTAATACATAGTCTCCTTTATTTTTTTTCTGATTGAAAAATGTAGACCCCTCAAGTGAGACAGCAGTATTTGTCTCACACACCAGAAGCTGGAATCACTGTCACTTCTATTAGCAGCCTTCTGCTGAGAAACACAAAGATGATAACAGTGAGCACTAACATTTTGACATGTACCAGTCACAGGACTTAATAGTAACATCAAATTGACATACCTACCTCATAGGGGAAAGAGTGAGTCCTCAAAGGAAATACAGTCCCACTTCCCTGTAACTGTCACCACTTTCCTTCCCATGACACCTATTTGGGGATGTTGGATCAAAACAGTGAAATCAGTTTTAGGATTACATCCCAACCTGACTGATTTTGCTGCACAAGCTGGTCAGAGTCTTTTCAATTGCACTCACAGTCATCTGCTGCTGTAACAGAGTCCAGTGCTCCCATTGAGACCTCTGCCTATCTCCCACAATTCTCAAGGGACCATTGTCCAGTTAAAATGGGAATACAAGGACTGTTCATCATTAAATACCAGAAGTTCATGTGATTTTTGCTATCAGTGCTTCCCAGCAGCCAAGCTTATTTTAATAAACCTCGTACCTTTTGAATTCTGGCATCTTTGAAGACGGGTGCACTCCCAAAAGCCAGGTGAGTTTTGTTTTCCTGCAGGGTGGGAAGGTCCTCCGATGCCACAAATATCCCATACCCCAGCAAGTCAGAATTTGCATGGAGGTATCCTAGTGCAGCAAGAACCTGTAACTCCATGTATGTATTTAGATTGCTTTTCGTTCTTTGTCGCTTTATTTCATTTCCTCTTTTCTGTATGGATTAATAACAGGTCTATGTGTGGCCAGGAGCTGTACCCTTGAAGAGCTGTACCCTGTAAGGCCCCCTGGGCTTGCATGGCAGCAGCTAGGACTGGCACATGCCCCACAGCGTGGGTCTCTTAAAAGAAGTACCTCCAGGGCAGTTATGGGGAAGGGATGCTCCTGCCTTTCACGTGTGCCTGTGTGAGGGTGCAGGCACATGTAGTAGTTGCTCTTATTACTCACTCCTTGGCAATTAACGGCATGTCTTACACAATGATTGATGAGGTATTAAGCATAGGCTGTGGTTTATTGGATGGTAAGCATGTTGGTGCTACATGGATATCATTGACTCAACAATCTCCTTCTGTGCTCCCAGCCCTTCTCATGTTGATGCTGGACCCAGGCTATTTTTTCATTGTTGAATATTTGCCTTTTAATTTTCTCTCATCTTTCTCTTCCCTTCTCTGTGCCTAGTAATTATCTGTTACTTATTATATGGACAGGACAATTTTCCTTCATTACTTGATCTGAGCCACTTAAGTGGATACTGTTACTGAAAGCCCTGGGAAGAAGGTAGGTCTGAGAAGACAGTGGTTATTGCTGGAGGCCACAATTAATTACAGATGCCAATATGGAAGTATGGAGAAGAGCAACAGGTGAAAGGAGGGAGCATTCAAAACAGCGTCATCAGCAGATGTGGCTTGTTATCAGGAGTGTTATAGCTAGCAGTACCACTAGTAAAGCCCTAGAGGTTTAGCCCTCCTTTACTACTTCCTAATAAAGTGATATAAAATAAAGTGTTATTTGATTTCATAAAGAAATTTAAAGGATAATATATTCACTATTCCCATGATATTTCCTTTCTAAGATTGTCTGTTCCACTTGACAAGTTTATGAGCTAACAAGTTAAGTTCTTATGCAGTCAGAAAGAAATTCAAAGCCTACAGGTAGCATGCAGACTATTTGTAAACTGGGGTCCCAGAGTGACACAAATCCTGCTTAGGATGAACAGAATGGCTTGCTCCTAACTTTATTTTCAAGTACATCGTTTTTTTTTCCAACTCCATCAGCTGATCTAACAAAAGACATTGACTCTTAAAACGAATGTTGTCTCAGTAGTCCTAAGCCACACACCTGAAATTGCCCCCCATCTCCACATGTGGCACTTAACAATTGCTCTATGGCAAAGAAAGTCACTTTTTTGCAAATACATCAGATGTGACAATAACAATGACTTGTTCTCTTAGGTAATAGCAAAATGACTAATTGAAGTAGGTAGCCAGAATTTGGGATCTTCCTGGGCTGAGATGGTTCCTGCACACATTGAATAATTCCCAGTAAATGTCCCAGTCTTGGTGATGTAGGAGAGGTCAGATAGGAAAAATGAAAGACACTCACCATCCTTCTAAGTTGTGCCTACAATAGAAAGT